CCATTATTTTGTCTCCTCCAACAGGGTTTTTCTTCCTCCTCACTCAGTCCAAGAATAGAGCTTTGGGGTAACTGAACATACCCCAAGGCACTATCCTTGGCCCACTCCTCAATTACATACTCCCTCTCGATGATGTCATCTGTAGACATGAAGTCAATTTCACATGTATGCAGATGACACCCAAATCTATTTTCCCTCTAACCCAGGTCTACCAATGTTCTGTCCTACTTGGCAGACATCAAGGCCTGGATGAGTGCCACTTTTTGCAGCTGAACGTGGACAAGATGGAAGTTGTCCTGCTTGGCTCCTATCAACATTTTATTCATCTGCGGCTCCAACCTCCTTAATCTCCTCAGCCTATCCTTCAGATTCACCGAAACTGTGCGCAACCAGGCATCAGGTTTGATCCTTCCTACCCCACATCTGGTCCCTGACAAGGACTGCTTTCCTTCACCTCTGCCATATTACCCAGCTCCAACCAAATTCTCCAGCTCCTCTATTCACAAAATCCAAATACAGTAAACTCATGATAACTTGTCACCCAAAGGGAAAAGGTCTCAGTGATGAGTTATTCAGTGTGATCAATTAGGCATATGTCTAGATACATAAATAAATGGGGCCAGGATATTGACAGCGCAATGACTTAAGTCAGAAGGTCCAACAGACCCGAGACCATTTCCAGCTTGGGGCTGCGAGTGTCCCTTTGGCAGCGTCAGGAGACAGTGGTTGGGAGGAAGCAGCGCAGGAAGGTGGGGAGTGGGAATGATGCCGGCCATTACAGCAATCTCGTGAACAGTTTCCACTGCCAGAGTCTCACAGCTGAAGTAAAGAAATAGAAATGGGAGGGAGACGGGTGGGGTGGGGGGGGGTGGTGGGTAGAGAGACAGGTGAACGTGTGGGGAGAGAGACAGGGGCGCGGGAGAGAGACGGGGGCGCGGGGAGAGAGACAGGTGGGGGCGCGGGGAGAGAGACAGGTGGGGGCGCGGGGAGAGAGACAGGTGAGGGGGTGGGGGGAGAGACAGGTGGAGGGGCGGGGGGAGAGACACAGAAGTGGAGGGGCGGGGGGAGAGAGACAGAAGTGGAGGGTGGGGGGAGAGACAGAGGTGGGGGCACGGGGGGAGAGGCAGAGGTGTGGGCACGGGGAGAGAGACCGAGGTGGATGGGCGGGGTGAGAGACCGAGGTGGAGGGGCGGGGAGAGAGACCGAGGTGGAGGGGTGCGGGGAGAGAGACAGGTGGGGGCCCGGGGAGAGAGACAGGGGTGAGGGGGTGGGGGAGAGACAGGTGGAGGGGCGGGGGGAGAGACCGAGGTGGAGCGGCGGGGAGAGAGACTGAGGTGGAAGGGCACAGGGAGAGGCAGGTGGAGGCGCGGGGAGAGAGACAGAGGTGAGGGCGCGGAGAGAGAGACAGAGGTGAGGGCGCGGGGAGAAAGACAGAGGTGAGGGCGCGGGGAGAGAGACAGAGGTGAGGGGGGGTGGCGGGGGGAGACAACACCAACAAAATTCCATTTATAGAGCACCTTTCACATCGGGAGGACTTCCCAAAGTGCTGAACAGTCAGGTGTCGGGACCCAAGCATGGGGGAGGGGTGGTGTAGGGATGAGGGAAGGCAGTGAGGTGGGAGGGAGACCGAAGGCATGGTTGAAGAGGAGGGTCTTGAGACCGGCCTTGAAGGAGGCAAGGAAGGAAGCGAGGCGAAGGGACCGTGGGATGGAGTTCCCGAGTGTGGGGGCAGAGAGGCTGAAAGCCCAGTCACCGATGGTAGGGTGGGTCGGGCGGGAGACATGGCGCAGGCCAGAGCCCGCTGAGCGGGCAGGTTGGTAGGGAGTCAGCAGATCAGAGAGGTAGGAGGGGGCAAGGCCATGGAGAGGTGGGAGGGAGAGAGGAGGGAGACAGTGATTGAGAGGGAGAGAAATGGGAGGGGAGAGAGCAGAGAGTGTAATTGAGAGAGAGTGCACTGAGAAAGTGATTGTGAGAGAGAGTGAGGGAGGGAGAGAGACACAAAAAAATTGAGAGCTGAGTTTCGTGGTTTGCTGTCAGGACAAACAATTGAAGCCTCCCTTGGATGTGGGGGTGAACCGAGGAAAGAGACAGAGCGACACCCCATTCGCTTGGCTAACGCAGGCCTTCTGCACGTCCCTTAATCCTTCCACTCCGCCATCGGCAGCCACTATCCTCCAACACTCAGGACTCTGTCTTAATTCTTCTACCTCACCCCTTCTGTCCATTGTCAGATTGCACTTGAAGACTTTCCTTTTTCTGCTTACGGTCACCTCCCCTTTCTTCAGCTCAGCATCAAACTATGCCATTGTTCAGTGCTCAGACATATGGGGTGTTATATAAATGCAAGTTGTTGTTTCTGTAACAAAGTGACTTTGTCAGGCTGATGTTGCTCACAAGCTCAATGCTGTGCTCTAAGGTTTATGAACAAGTCTCCTGTTCCTCTTGGCTGGCTATAACTGGACTAAAACATCAACTCATTTCTAACATCTTTTATAAAAANCTACATGGAAATGTTTATTTTTTAATGTTTGTTACCGAAAGCTGTAGCAATCTGTTGCTGCACTTTAGCTTAATTTTGATTCACCCTTCTTTTAGTCGTCCAGGTGTGTGGGGGTCGTGCTGGAGTCTAACCAACTAAATCCGTAGTTTGCCATTGATATCGCTGTGTGGCAGCTTTCCCGCTGCTTGTCCAGCTGGGACCACCCTCCCCGTTAGGGCTTTGGCTGCAGGGTTACCAGGAGCTGAATGGGATGACTCTCTGCCCCCAGTGACTGGGCGGCCCTTCCAAGTCCTGCCGATGAGCCAGGCTGGGGCTGTGCTGTCATCAGCAGTGAGTGCCCTGGAATACTGCGGACCCTCCTGGCTCAGGACTGGACTAGAGACCGGCACAGAGGATTCCCATATTGTTGGCAGGTCACCTTAGAGCCTGTTCAGCTCCAGGGAGACACCACTTACCTCCCTTCCCCCCCCCCCCCCCCAGAGGAGAAATCATTTTAAAGGCCTGTGGGTGCTGTGTAGTGTTAGATCGTGGTTGGCTGCCTGCACAGTGCTATTTTTGTTGGTCACTATAAGGACCTCTAGTGTCAGATATTCAATAGTACAGCATTACTGGGCACAATAGCATTCTTTCCAGAGGGTAGAATGGAGCTGATGTTTTCCTATGAATGGTTAACAGGTGGAAGAAACTGAGACTCCTTCCCTCACCTCAACCTCTGCAACAAATAATCTTATTTTTTAACTTGAATATTTCCCCCAAGTTTCAAAATCCCCAGGAATTCTAAGCAAATGTAAGACCAGAAGATTAGTTGCTGCTGCAGTGAAACCTTCCGAGGACTGTCTGCGTGTTTCAGCACAGTCCATGGCTGGGCACCAAGTGCCTCGTGCAGCCTTTTGTTAGGCATTGGGGATTCAGGTTCTGCTGCTGCAGTTGGGAATTAGGTATTTTATTGTGTCCACCACCTTTGAAAGCTGATGTTTCCTGGGAATTTAAAGCTGACCTTCGTATCTGTTCTATCCACCATTTCACCGATAATATCATAACAAACCTGCCTCTTGAGGCAACACAGAGTGCATAACGTCTCAACAATACTGACTGTTGTGACCTGAATGGGTCAAATTTACAACGGGGAACAAAATTTATTCTGAGATTTGTCTCATTTTGGAAGCATTTTGGTTTTAAACCAGTACTAGGGCTACTGCAATAGTTCAATGCAGTGAACCAATAAACTGTTTGTATGCAATTAAATCCCACTCTCCAAAATTGCTGCCAAATCTCCCGAGAGATTTGAAAGTATACTGAATATACTAGTATACTACTCCTTGTCACTGCACAGAGTCCACCCAAATTCAAGACCAAAATAAATTGTCACTTTACACTGGAGTCCTGGGAAACTAAATAAAATTGGTCATTTGTTTCATGGCTGTTTGTGGTACATTGCTGTGCACAATTGAGCTGCCACATTCACTTACAAATACACAACCACTAAATCCTGTAAAGCGTTTTTTGAGATGTCCTGATGTGAAAGGGGCTGCACAAATGAAAGGATTCATATCTTCCTGTGACAAGTCCTATACAGTTCAAATCATGGAACATTTGGAGGCTGAGATATCCTGAAAACACAATCCTCCTAATTTTCTACCTTTTTCAGTTTTGCACATCAGCCACTTCCACCCCAGCTATCTTAGGACCTCTAAATGAGATTGCAGTTTTGTGCTATAGGTCACACCCTTTGGATCTGGATTAAATATGGGCTCCCAACCCTCCCAAGTATTTACATAGCACTCTTACATCAGTATGTGTTGCCTGTAAGCACATTGCTGAGCTGGGATGGTTTGGTTTGGGACGCTACCCTGTGTAAGGAGTACTATACAAGCGGCAGTTGTTGATGGACTTGCTCATTGTCCTGGTTTTGGAAAAATGTAAAATTCAAAAGGTTGTTTGATTCACAAAGAGTGAAGCGGCTGTGCAGTGCTGTGATAATTATCCCTGATGTTTGGAAAGTGATGAAACCAGCAACTTGTGTTCAAGCTTTTTGAGTGCAGATTTTATCATAATGCTGATGTGATAGTTCATTCAGTCACTGTCAGCGTGGGAGGGAGAGGTTTAACATCCAAAGCAAACCCTTGAGTGCTGGTGCTGTGACCAGGATGGGAGGAGAGGATATGTTCTGTTTATTAGTGTGACTTTGACATTGTTGTTAATGATGACATTTACCATTGTAATCACATGTGCCTACACTTAGTAGCAAGCACAATATGTTTCCTGCAGTCTTTTTTCACGTATCTAGTGCTGCTTTTAATGTGGATTATATTTCTCTGAAGCAGAGGTTCCCGTCTATAAGTCAATTTGTTCTCTTCTCCTTGCAGAAGAAATGTACAAAACTTGGAGTGGTTAATGCCTAGAACTAGCACAGACTCACTAGATTGTGATCAGGACAGAATACTCTTTTGGGTAATTGTAACTAGGCCGTTTGAATTTTGATTTGTTTTCTTCCTATTAGAATTTAGATGACAGTGCGTTCACAAAAAGACATGCAAAGCTTGAGCTTGATGAGAAAAGAAGGAAAAGGTAAGTGAATCATTAATGTTATTAATGTTAGGAACATTCTTACCTTTAAAACCAATTTAATGTTTTCCAATTAATCACAAAATGGGACTTTAAACTCACAGTCTAGGCAGTTAGATAATGAAAAAACAAGGAAAGTTGTAATTTTGTGCAGTGGTTTGTGCGAAGTCATGTCTGCAGCACTATATAAATTGCATTTATATAGTGTTCCTGTGCCAAGGCACTGGGCAGTGGAGGTGGAGGCCAATGGAGGTGGGGACCAGTGGGGGCGGGAAGATGACTGAAAGAACAGTCAAAGAGTAAGGTCATGAGATGGTCCACGTACCCCCCAGCAGTGTGTCCCCCCCCAGCAGTGTGTGTGTCCCCCAGCAGTGTGTCCCCCCCCAGCAGTGTGTCCCCCCCAGCAGTGTGTCCCCCCCCAGCAGTGTCCCCCCCCAGCAGTGTGTCCCCCCCCAGCAGTGTGTCCCCCCCCCCAGCAGTGTATCTCCCCCCCCCAGCAGTGGTGTCCCCCCCAGTAGTGTGTCCCCCCCCCAGCAGTGTGTCCCCCCCCAGCAGTGTGTCCCCCCCAGCAGTGTCCCCCCCAGCAGTGTGTCCCCCCCAGCAGTGTCCCCCCCCAGCAGTGTGTCCCCCCCCAGCAGTGTATCCCCCCAGCAGTGTGTCCCCCCCAGCAGTGTCCCCCCCCCAGCAGTGTGTCCCCCCCACAGCAGTGTGTCCCCCCCAGTAGTGTGTCTCCCCCACCCCCGCAGTGTGTGTCCCCCCCAGCAGTGTGTCCCCCCTACAGCGGTGTGTGCTCCCCCTCCGGAAGGGGGGAGTGAAGACCTTTTAAGGGAAAGCCACGTGAAGCGGATTCCCGGCCTCTGCAATGTGAGGCTATTATTATCACCACCTCCCAGACTTGCTGCTGTGAGGCACATGGCACTGACATGTGAGATCGCCGGCCCTCGTGTGCTCCAGAGGTTACACTCCACACAGCTGGGGGCTGGGGGGGGGGGGGGGCGGGCGGGGACACTGCTGGGAGGGGGAGCACACACCGCTGTAGGGTTGACACACTGCACTGCTGTGGGGGACACACACTGCTGGGGGGTGGGGGGAGCGCTGCTGGGGGTGAAACACGCACTGCTGGGGTGGGGGGGACACTGCTGGGGTGGGGGGAGACACCTTGCTGGGGGGGACTCACTGCTGGGGCGGGGGGGAACACACTGCTGGGGGAGGGGCAGGGAGACACACTGCTTGGGGGAGACCGGCGTGGAGGGCGCTATATAAATCCAAGTTGTTGTTGACATACTGCTGGGGGGGTGGGGGGCAAACACACTGCTAGAGGGGGGACTGCTGGGGGGAACACACTGCTGGGGGAACACACTACTGGGTGGGTGGATATTGCTTGGGGGGCACTCTGCTGGGGGGGGGACACTGCTGGTGGGGTGACACACTGCTGGGGGGTCACTCTGCTTGGGGGGGGCACACTACTGCGGGGGCACACTGGGGGGGTGCACAATCTGCTGGGGGGGACACTGCTGGTGGGGGGGCACACTGCTGGGTTCACTCTGCTGGGGGGGGCACACTGCTGCGGGGGGCACACTGCTGGGGGATCACTCTGCTGGGGGGGGACACTGCTGGTGGGGGGGGCACACTGCTGGGGGATCACTCTGCTGGGGGGGATCACTCTGCTGGGGGGGATCACTCTGCTGGGGGGGGCACTCTGCTGGGGGGGCACACTGCTGGGGGGGCACACTGCTGGGGGGGCACACTGCTGGGGGGGCACACTGCTGGGGGGGCACACTGCTGGGGGGGGCACACTGCTGGGGGGGGCACACTGCTGGGGGGGGCACACTGCTGGGGGGGCACACTGCTGGGGGGGCACACTGCTGGGGGGAGGCACACTGCTGGTGGGGGCACACTGCTGGAGGGGGAGGCACACTGCTGGGGGGGGGCACACTGCTGGGGGGGGGGGGCACACTGCTGGGGGGGGGGGCACACTGCTGGGGGGGGGGCACACTGCTGGGGGGGGGGGCACACTGCTGGGGGGGACACACACGAAGTAAAAACAGAAGTCGCTGGAAGCCTCAGCAGGTCAGGCAGCACCTTGTCATCGACCTGAAATCTTAACTCGCTTTCCTCCCCATCGATGCTGCCTGACCTGCTGAGGGGTCCCAGCGACGTCTGTTTGTGTCCATGACAACGATGCTTTATTTGTAGTGGGTTATCCTGAATCATAACATGTTTAATCAAGCCCCAACCTCACTCAGATACCTATCTATCCCCCAACAGATCAACTTGTCCTCATCCTTACCTTAAACGCCTAATCTCCACCTCTGTGATCTCCTGTGACTTTACACCATGACCTGACCCCCAGATATCTGCTCTGCTAACTTGTTTCATGCCTATCCTTCAGTCTGTCCACTCCGCCTGAGGAGGGTGAGGCGTAGGCCCACTCTGCACCAGCATTTTGGAATGCTTCTGAAACTCTTCAGTTTCAATCTCTCCCTCTTTCAAAACCCTCTTAAAAATATTTGACATTGCAATTTAGCAATGTAAAATATTGCATAATATTTACATATAAGAATAAAATAGTTGCCCTAGGGATTTTAATATTAAATATATCTGTAGTCTTTTCTAGGTCCAGATTCATTATTCTAAAGTTGCATGTAAGTGTTTGTGTGTATAAATGCACAGTATATGACCTCAGATGACCTCTGAGCCAGGGATGATACTGATAATATTCCTTGCATTTGATAATAGCACCTTATCATATCTTCGAGACGTCTCAAAACATTTCACAGAATATACTGTAAAGTGAATTGACTGTATATTTGTGTGCGAATCACAGAAGCTAATTGCGCACAGCAGCGTCCCACACACAGTCGTGGAATGAAGTGACCAATTTATTATCTTTTTTTTAAATCAGGCGTGTGGAGTAAGGAAACTTGCCCAAGGTTTTGACCTGGCTGGGAATCAAACCCAGGTCTCTCGCTTGCGAGGCGAGTGCTCGAACCACTGAGCTACAGGACTCCACAGGATAATCAAGTAACTCAAATACAGCATTTCAGGATTTTGTTTTAAAAAAAACTTTTTTGGTTTAAAAAAAGTTTTAATACATGAACCAGATCAGCAGGCCAAGGTTTCCTGACATTACTACCAATTTTATTGGCATCAAGCATTCACCTTTGTGTTTAACCCTTAATCACCAGCATGATCGCTCTGGGATGCTGCCCTGTGTGAAGGACACTATATAAATACTAGTTGTTGTTGTTGATCAGTTCAACTCATCCACTTGCAATCTCTTAGAGGTCACAAGAAAGTATCCAGCAGTCAAACGTTCTCTCCTCCTTCTTCGTGGCTTGTGCACATGGTGTAATACAAGACAGGAAGCACTAGTTTAATTCCCCACTTGTGCTAATCTCTACTGGGACATTGGCGAGAGATTAGACTGGGGAAGGCGGGGGGGCGGGGAAATCAGACAGATTTCATACTTCTCACCACTGTCCAATGCCGTCGATGGAGTGTCTGTGGCTGGTTGGGAGCAGCATTCTACTGAACAGTGGATCTTAACCCCAACCGGTCAAAATGTGCCATGTTGAGACAATTTCCAATAGATTTCTAAAGAAATCACCTCCAAATGAAAGCCTAGTGCAAATCTCTGTGATGTACTTCTGATTTCCTTATTAAGGTGTAAATGACCAAATATTAGATCCCATTGTTTTGGTGACAGGATCTGGCACCATGGACTGGACCTACGCCTTCTATAGACTACTGCTAAACAGAGGCAATTTTTCTAGCAATGTTGTGTTCCTGAATCTCCGTTTCCTTAAAATTGCTGTGTGCAGAACCTGATGGTTCATCTTTTTACACTTCTCTGTAAAATCATTGCCTAGTTTCTCTTCCTGTGTTACTCCAGGTTGTACGGCTACAGCGATTGCAGCCTTCACTTCACAATTTTCTCTTGTGTGTACATGCACTATACATAGACCCTCTCATGTAGAATAAACAACTCAAAAACTTAATAAGTTAGGAGCATTTTGGACCTCAACCAAAAACAAAGGTCATTGTAGATATTATTTTTAAAAAATCAATGATATTTTTTTTTCTTTCATCAGTTTCTTCTGGTCTCACAAATCTAACCAATATTTTTCACCTCTTAGCTACCAACAATTCTCAACTTCTGATATTCAGGTTTGTCCAAAGGTGTAACACGGCTCCTGCTATTACCTCTTCCACTCCACACAGAAGGAAGATCATCTGATAAGACATCACTTCTGACTTTCATCCAGGATCTTGCAAAATCTATAGAATTCTGTTTCACAAAGATTCTGAATTAGTGCCAACAAAATACAGTGAGCGCAATTCAGAGTAAATCCTGTGAAGCGTTTTGAGATGTTCTTCTGACGTGAAAGGTGCTGTAATAAACGCAAGGGTTATTATTATAATAATCTTTGTATTTGATATAGCGCCTGATCACATCATTGAGACATCAGCCTCCCCCACATCCGGTCCCTAACCAGGACCAACCTCCTTCTTCCACCTCCGCCACATTACCTGCCTCCGACTGTACCTCACCCCAAATACAGCCAAAACCCTCGTGCTTGCACTTGTCACCTCGGGCCTGGATTGCTCCAATGCACTCTTCACTGGTCTTCACAGCTCCACTATTCACAAGAGCAGCTCATTCAGACTCTGCCGCCCCCATCCTGACCCGGACCAAACTCCGTCCCCACATCTCACCAGTTCTGGCCCAGGCTCCACTGGCTTCCCATCCCCGAACGCATCGACTTCAAGATCCTCGTGTTCAAATCCCTTTACTCTCTGGCACCTCCCCACCCTCCTCACTCCCAATCCACTATCCGGCGCCTCCGCTCGACTGGCACCGGCCTCCTGCTCTTCCCTCGCACCCTCAGCCCCACCATCGGAGGTCGCACTTTCAGACACTACTCCCGAAAATCTGGAACGCTCCCTCTTTCAGGTCCCGCCCAAAGACTTTCCTGTTCAACCATGCTTGCAGCCACCTCCCCACCCCCCTAGTTCAGAGTCAGGCACTGTTAAACTCTCTGAGACTCTAACCTGCGTGGAGGGTGCTATGTAAGTGCAAGTTGTTGTTGTTGAGACGTCTCAAAGCACTTCACAGGATATACTGTAAAGTGGAGTGGCTGTATTTGGTAGGTGAAAGAGATCTGGAAAGTGCACCTAATGATTTCAGCCTTACGCTACCAAGTTATTTTATACATTCTAATAATGCTCCTCTAGGAAGCTACGCTTACTGTCACAAGAGAATCATTTAATCAAGAAAAGAACAATATTACAGCAGAAGTTACCAGCCATGTTTATTTATCAATTCATCAAAACATAAATTACAACATTCAAAATGGATTTTTACGAGAACTACACAACATTCCTGAAAGGCTCCTCTCCTCTCAGTGCTTGTGTACTCAAAAAGTGAAAGGTGACAGTGCTGGGGGAAACAGAACACTTTCTTACTTAGCACCCAGTCACACGTCAAGCACGTGTCAGGTATGCCATAATCAGATGATATTGAGTGTATCCCCTCCATTAACTTGACAATAAAGCTCAACACCAATATCTGGGATGGTCCCTCTCCTTCCCACCCCACACCCAAACAGGATATTATTCACTCCTCGTTTGCCTTTAGCAACCTCCACCCACCCTACCTCACCACTCTGTGTCCAGGCTGCCAATTCCAGTGTCATGTTCGGTGGACACCTGACCTGCTTTGAGTGGATTCAGAAGATTGAAACACAACACAATTAAAGACCTTCTCAAAGGCTGTGGATTCCTCTTGGTCTCTTTTCGATTGAAACAGTTGATAGAAGTTGAGGACTTTGTTCTCTTGTATATTTCACCACTTGGGCTTTATTCAGAGGACTCTTCACTTTCCATATTTAGTCCAGATTTAAACAGACTCCAGGTGAAAGAACTGGGTTCCAACACAGTCAGACGCCAAGCACAAAGGAAGCCCTTCACAACTGTGTTTAGATGATATTCCAGTTCAGATCCTACAAGTGGAAAAAAATGGACAGTGACCTCCTTCCTGACACTGAACAACACTGACCTTTTGCCTGGGTCAAAATAAGGAATGTTAAATTGAGAGATTTGAACAACTTCAGAAAGCTGTCAATCTCCCAAAAAATGGATTCCAAGAAAGCCGAGCTCTTTAGAGAAAAACAAACTTAAAAAGGTGCAAGATTTTTAAATCTTTCTGTACAAGTTCAAATCTGCAGAATAGACAAAACGGCCCAAACTGAATTTCTGAATTCAAACGGACAAAACAGGAAAAAATAATTGATTTTCACTTCGGTGAGAAGCAAAAATATAAAAGAGCCAGAGACAAGACTATTCAGTTACTGATACAGCGACAATTAATTATAAACATCAATATAAACACTGAATGAGCTTCGCAGGCAGGTGGTCCTTTAGGAAAGCTAAGCTGCTTTGCCATTCAGCTGTGTTGCTGTACAGTTTGCAGCTCAGGTACTTATACAGTCAGAGTTATGTGCAAAACATCTATTTGCGACACGTTCGATGTGGCGTCTGTTTCTTTTGTATGTCTATCCTGCAACGGCTTCGCTCATCCAACCAGGGTAACTCAAAGTTCCTGCAAAGAGAAAGAACAGGTAAGAGCAGGTTTGACTGGCAAATGACTGAGAATTGTTCCCACCTCATGAATTGTGAATCCATGTTGAGAACAGCGAGAATCAGCAGTACAACAGAACTTGTTGGAAGAGAGACGTATCGAGGTCACGAGGTCAGCCACCCGACATTGTAGGTGAAACACATCATGACAATGAATGACCAAACTCCCCCTCACCCACTGCTGTTCCACAGCTGGCACTTTCATAGGTCAAATTAATATTTTCAGCCATTTAGAATCACTTCATAATAATTTCAATTAATAACTGTTTTAATGTTTTTGTGAAAACACGAATATTTCATGATGCATTTTAAAGACCTAATGCTGAATATTCTGGGACATGTGAAGAACCGACATGAAGCAAGTTACAGTGCAGCAGAATGTCAAACTTACTGTTGTGATAGCTTGGGTAAAGGCCTGCCAAAAGCCACCACGGGTAGAAACGGGGTAATTACCAGAGATTCCACTGAAAAGAGAAAAACGGCAAGCTTAGATTTACTTGTGAAAACAGCTATTTAGTCTTTCTTTTAAAGAATATAAATTCCCAAAATAGGAGAATATCAGATAAGGTTTACCCAGGATTTGGCTCCCAGTTGGAGAACACGAATGTCCCATTTTGTGGGACAATCCTGCCTTTGACATTTTGGATCACCCTATCCTCCTCCACTGTCTCTCCTCTCACCCTAACCTTCAAGGTTCTGGCTTTAAATGGCTCAGATCCTATCTCTCACACTGGCTTCACTTCTCTCTCTAGCCCCCGCACCATCTTGTGTGGCGTTCCTCAGGGCTGTCCTCGGTCCTCTCCTCTTCAACCAGTACATACTTGGTGACATCATCCGCAGACATGGGATCAACTCCCACATGTATGCGGATGACACCCAACTTTACTTCTCTGCCTCCACCCTCGATTCCAGGACCACTGCTGTCCTGACAGAATGTCTGTCAGACATCAAGTCCTGGATGAGAGCTAACTTTCTCCAGTTGAACGTCAACAAAACCGAAGCTCTCCTGATTGGTTCCCATATCAGCATTCAAGGATGCACACTCCACCTCACCAAGCCAGTCAGGAGCCTGGGCGTCTTGTTCGACCCTCAACTGTCCTCTTTCCCCCACATCCATGCCATGACCTGCTCTGCCTTCCCCCACCTCCGCAACATTGCCTGACTGCACCACTGCCTCACCCTTCAGACCGCCAAAACCCTCATACATGCCTTCACCTTCACCGCATCTAGGCTCGACTATACCAATGCCCTGCTTGTCAGCCTCCCCAACCTTTTCCTCCACAAGCTGCAGATCATCCAGAATCTGCAGCTTGTGTCCTCTCCCGCACCAGGCTCCATCAGCCCCACCCTCACCCGGCTCCACTGGCTCCCCATCCCTCAGAGGATCGAGTTCAAAATTCTCATCGTCACCTTCAAGGCCCTCCATGGCCTTGCCCCCTCCTACCTCTCCAACCTGCGAACCCCTTATCAACATGTCCACTCTCTCCGCTCAGCAGGCTCTGGCCTACTCCATGTCCCCACCATTGGTGGTCGGGCCTTGAGCCTCTCTACCCCCACCCTCTGGAACTCCATCCCACATTCCCTTCACCTCACTCCCTCCCTTGCCTCCTTCAAGGCATGCCTCAAGATCCTCCTCTTCAACCGTACCTTGGCCAGCCTCCTACCCTGCGTGATCCCAACACCCCCCACCCCTGTCTCCGCTCGGGTCCTAACTGACTGTTCAGCACCTTGGGGATGTCCTCCCAACGTGAAAACCGCTTTACAAATGTAATACTGTGTTGTATTTTCCTCACAGAACTAGAAGTTGGAATTATCTCTTACTGTTTGGAAGTCACTGTATTGGAACCTACCATCATCTGATTCAGGAAAAAATGACAAGATTTCTGGCTCTGATTCCTGAATTCCTTTCTTTTTGTACATCCGCAGTTGTAATCGCTGTAGCAGTCTTTGCTCTCTGATCCTCTGGATATCCCACCTGGAAAATACATCAAAGGCAAGAATGAAGAATCCACCAAACCATATTATCTTTAGTCCTTGCAATGGTTTATTTTGGTGATAAATGTTTTAATTAAAAATACGTTTACAGATGATATCAAACTATGACAAGTAAATGGAATAATAGCAACAATCCTTACATTTGATATTGTGCCTATAATAATAATACTTCTTGCATTGCATATTACACCATATCACCTCTTAGAGACGTTTCAATGCGCTTCACAGAATAATAATAATAATCCTTGCATTTGATAGAGTGCTTTTCACGTCGGGAGGACGTCCCAAAGCACTTCACAGAACACACTGTAAAGTGAATTGACTGTATATTTGTGGGCGAACGCGGCAGCCAATTGCGCACAGCAATGTCGTAGATTGAAAATGACCAATTTATTATTGTTTTTTTTTGGAGGGATTATTATTAGGCTCTGTGTGGAGTAAGGAAACTTGCCCAAGGTTTCGCCCTCTGCCTGAATTGAACTCAGGTCTCTCACTTGCAACGCGAGTGCTCTAACCACTGAGCTACAGAATATACTGTAAAGTGAATTGACTGTATATTTTGTGGACAAAACGCGGCAGCCAATTACATGAATATAATATCGAAACTTCTCAAAGTGCTTCACAGGTAACTGTTGTCAAGGGACTGTATTTATCAGCAAACAGAGCAATTTGCGTGCAGCGAGGTTCCATTATGAATTCAATTAACTAAATGATTGTTGGCTTGGACACGAGGAGACCCTTGCCTTCTCTTTTCAAATAGTGTCACGGGATCTTCAAGGTCCATCTCTACACGCAGACAGGACTCTGGTATGACGTCTCAACTGAAAGACTCTGACAATTCAGTGTTACTTCAAAACTCTCCTGGAGTGTCAACCTGGACTGTGAATTCAAACTCCCAACAAAGGACAGTGACCCAGAGCAGAGAGTGCCTCTCCAAATATTTGTTACATATTACATACAGATATTGACAAAGTTCTGTATGTTGTGTTGGGTTGGCGGCTGTGGTCATTATGAAGACAATACCTGTTTAGGACATTAGTGCCTTCCTGATTTGCCGGGGGTGTGCGGTGGGTGGGTGGAGGGTAGAGAAAAAGGTTCTCCAAGAGCAAGGAAAGGACAGACGTCGTCAGTCCTCTCTATTGAACCCAACCCACCTGTAGAACCTTCTGTCCTCCACAGCAATAAGGGAAGATTGGCCAATAGCTTGAACCCAGTAAGCTACCAGTTCCACCGATCAGCTTTTAAGTGGGGATAAACACAGAGGACAAACACAGAGATTTTATTCTATCCAAGGCTGACCACATTTCACCAGAGAAAGGGGTGAATACAATTGTATGAAAGTTTGTAATCCAGACCTGAAATTTTCAGTCATTTTTATTTCTGGAAGGCATATTTAATTCTGTCATTCTGATAAAGAGAGAGAGAGAGAGGTGACCCTTCATAATGCAGCTGCACGTTTTTTGAGAATTTGTTTTCTGATGGGGGGGGTGGATAATTGTAAACTGCTAGTTAGTGAGTTTCTGACCTTGTTTGCCTCAGACAATCTAATAATAACAATAATCCGCAACTGTTTGTGGGACGCTGCTGTGCGCAGTTGATGCCGGGTTTCACCCACAAAATATACAGTCAATTCACTTGACTTATTCACATATTCTGGGAAGAGCTTTGAGACATTTCAATGGCATGATAAGGCGCTATAAAATAATCTTTGCATTTGATATTGCGCTTTTCACGTCTTCTAGATGTCTCCAAGCGCTTCACAGAATATACTGTAAAGTGAATTAACTGTATATTTGTGGGCAAAACGCGGCAGCCAATTGCACACAACAGCGTCCCACTTACAGTTGTGGATTGAGGTGACCAATTTATTATTTTTTTTCTTGAGGGATTACTATCAGACTATCAAAACCCAATGAACAGAGTAACAAAAGAGCAATTATTTTCAGAGATGGAGAGGCTCAGCGAACCACCCCCTACCATGAGATACTCACGATATTGACCTTGAGAGGAATCCCCTGGGATTGAAACCACAACTTTCTGCTCCCAAGGCTTGGTGGCTGAACTTAGGATCTTGGAGATGTTTAAGAGGGAAACAGACAGAAACCTGAACACCAAGGCTTACTAAAGCTCGCTAAAGGTTACTCACTTGTAATGGCAGAGCTGCTTTTACTGGTGGAAAACGATGTTACCATCGTCTGTGGATAGTTTCAAGTTGCTGAAGGAGCCACTGTTTTGAGCATTCCTCTCCGCACACTGAGTTGCTCCTGTAGTGATGACTGTCCTGGGAGCCGGAGCTGGTGGGAGACGGTGGTAACGGAGAACACGACTGAGATAGCGACTGGAAACTGCTGTTTGAGTTATCGTTGCACAGCAACACTGGGCTTGAGGATGAGCTGACGGGTCCGATATAGGTGATGACTCCCCCTGTAGTGCAGCACAGAGAGAAACAGCTGTAGCGCCACAATAACTTGTGTTTACATTACGCCCTTCGTGCCGGATAGCGTCCTGG